AAAAAAAAATCAAACAAATTTATATAACGTTATTTTATTAACATTTAAATATATGTATTTTACATCGGTTTATAATTAAATAATTACAATTATTTATTTATTTATTTATTTATTTTTAAATTATTATTAATATTTATAAATTTTAAATTTTTTCGTAAGGATTTTTAATAATAATAATAATAATAATAATAATGAAAATTTATAAATAAACTCCTTGAAAAAAAAAATAATTATTAAATATTTTTATTTCAATTGAAAATTATTTATTTATTTATTTATCTCCGTACACGTTTCGTAAACAGAAAAATAATGATGATGATGATAATAATAATAAAACAAGTTATCGTGTATAATAAGTGTAACGGAAAAAAAAAAAAAATTATGTACGTAAATTTTTATTAATTAATTCAACGTAAAAATTAAATAAATTTTTTTTTTTTTTTTTACTAAATAAAATATTCAAATCAACTTTCCATCATACGTTTTATTTAAGTTATTATTATTATTATTATTATTAATTTTGCGAAAGAAAAAAAAATGAGTTGTAAAAATAATAATAATAATAATGATAATGATAAATAAATAAATAAAAAAAGTATGTCGAATAATTTTTTTTTTTTTTTAAATATTTACGATGATGTTTTTCGAGAAAAAAAAAATTTTTTAAATGAATTTCATTATTATTATTATTATTATTATTAATATTTTTTTCGATGCTTAAATAATAAAATTTTATTAATTTTTTTTTACAGAATCGAAAGATCCAGAACAATAATTCCAACTTTAATTCAAACAGTGAAAATGTGTGAAAAACATCAGAGCGTTAATTATTATTATTTTTACGAGCTTTTATTTACTAAAATAAATTTAAAATTGGGTTCACGTCGTCTGCCACGATAAATCACTTCATCAAGCTTATTGCGATATAAAATATTTGTACGTTTGATGTTTAAAAAAAAAAAAAATAAAAATTTATGTATATATATATATATATGTATATTTAACGAATTATGCACATGAATATTTTTTTTTAAATGCGGAAACAATCGATTTATAATTTCCATAACCTTCTTATTTAAATAAACAAGTATAATAATAATTATTATTATTATTATCATTACCATTATCGCCATAAGTTTTAATTTTTAAAATAATTATATTTGAATTGATATTTATTATTATTTTCCGGATAAAATAAATAAATAAAAATGTCGAAGGTTTTACCTCCTTCGTTAAATGTTTTGAGATAGGAAATATGGTAAAACTTTGGGATTCCCCTTTTGTATATACATAAAACTTGCTCTTGACGTCGTCTGCTAACTTGTAATTATTATTTATTTTTAAAATTTTGTCTATAAAAAAAAATGAATAAATAAATTTTTATTATTAAAAGTAATTAATTGAATAAAAAAAAAAAAAAAATTGTCTTCGTGCACGACGATCCGTGAACGCGCAAAGGATTTTCCCGCGGAATAAAGTTTTGGCGCCAAAAATCCTTTAATTTATAGTAATTTGAAAATTCGCCATGTTTGAAAAAAAAAAAAATACAAATAATTTTAAATAGAAAATTTTATATTTGGGTTTGATTTATTTTTTAAAAATAATAATAATTATTATTATTATTAAAACTTTAACGTTAAAAACACATTTGAAATAATAATAATAATAATTTAATCATGTATTCATTATTCGTTTTTTTTTTTCCAATAAGTGAGAAATTAATTTAAATTATAAAAACACAGGAAAACGTAGTAAATAATTATTATTGAATGTAACAAAACAAGCAAAAACTTTCAAATCGTTTTTTTTTTTTAACCGTTAATAATAATAATAATAATAATAATAATAAAATTGTTTGTTATATTTTTAAAAAAAAGAAAAAGAAAAAATTAAACTAAATAGAAAAATTTTGTTTGGCATTTCGTTTCACCCCTTATTCTTTTGCATTTTGATTCGTTAACTTTCGCCGAAATGATTCGGGAATCTTCGTAAAAGGGGGAAAAAACGGAAACTGGATGTTTATACTTGATACAATTTCAAACGTTACAAACGAAATGGAATTATTGATTTTGATTTTGGTTCGAGAATAGATGTTTTAAGTTCCCCGGTTCTGCCCGGGGTTGTCTATGAAATCATTCAGTGATAAATTTTTTACATTTTTATTTTTATTTTATTTTATTTTTAAAAATAAATGTTTCTCTTTTTTCTAAATTAATCAATAAAATTAAAAGTATTATTTTAATAATAATAATATTTATATAGTTACTTATTAATAATTAAAAGTAAAAAATTTTTGTGTGTGATTCTAATTTTATACGCTTTGAAATTGATTTAAAGAAAAAAAAAGAAAAGGAAATGTAACAAAAATGAAGACATTTTTTAGTGAGTTTTTTTATTTATTTATTTATTTTATTTATTAATATAACATTAGTAATATTTATTAAGTATTATTTTTATAGTTTTATAAATATTTTATTATGAGTTATAACATAACAATACATGATGATTCTTGCAATTGGTTTTTTCCATTAAAAAGTAATAATTATTTATATATATATATACATAACACATTAACAATATGAAAAAGTTAAGTGAATCATTTCAAAATTTTATTTTATTAAATTATTATTCATCCATCATCATCATCATCATCATCATCATCATCATCACTTATATCATAATAATATTTATTTTAATTATTTATAATTTTGCTACAAAAAAAAAAAAAAATCAATCATTTCATTGTAAACTTTACATTTTTACCTCTTCAACATTGGTTTAATAATTTACTATAACACAAGACAGACAATTACATCAAATAAAAACATCATTATTATTATTATTATTAATATTAAATTAATTAATTAATTAATATCAATTAATTAAAAATTATTCTTTATTGATGGTAATTAGACAGTGGGAGGTAGGTTAAAAATAAAATGAATGAAAAGAAATATGATAAATAAATTTATTTATTTATTTTTTTGTTATAACAAATTGTTGTGCATTTAGTTGAGATTGTTTATTAATTAATAATAATAATAATAATAATAATCAAATCATTTTTTATTAAGGTAACTAATTTTAATAATATTGATGTGTGACACTATTTGGAATGACCAATGAAATTATTCAAAATCTTTTATTTTTTTTTTCTATTAACTTATTAAAAAGTTATGTTAATACACTCAAACATAAATATTTCATAACAATTATATTATGTACATAATTCAAAAATCATCTGTCATACTTTATGCATCTTAAATTCATTCAAAGTTTATTAAAAAAAAATAAAAAAAAATAAAAAAATGGAGTCAAAAAGTTTATTTATAGTTTTAAAAATTTTTAACTAAAAAAAAAATAAAAAAACTATAAATAAATTGTAATAATAATTATTATTATCATTAATCATAATAATAATTAATTAATTAAAAAGGACAAAAAAAAAAAAATTGTTAAATAAAATAATTAAATGTAATTTCATTGGATATTCATAACCGCGATTATTCGATCCCTTCTCATAGAGTCTTTGGATGCTGCGGGGATTGCGGTTTACACTTTTCATCCCCCTTTTACTGATTTTTACCCCCTTAACGGTTATTTATATTTATTTTTATTTTTTATTTTTTTTGTCTTATGAATTTTATCGTTTATTTTTTTTCTAAATTTTTTTTTTTTTTAATTGTAATTTTTATAATATTACATCATATTATACGCGATATGAAAAAAAAAAATATGCGAAAGTTTTGACGTCAATGTTTTATTGGGTTTTTCAAACTTTGTTGTTGTTGTTGTTGTTGTTGTTTTTGTTGTTGTTTGTATAAAAAATATTTAAGAGTGCATTTTTAACAAAACAAAATATAATTTTTTCCCTAATAATTGAACAGGTTTCTTTTAAAAAAAAAAAAAAAAAAAAAACTTATCCGGGTGACCTCGGATACCATTATATTTAATAAACAATAAACGAAAAAAAAAAGTTTTTTTCGATGGTTTAAATAATAATAATAATAATTTAATTTAATTTAATTAAAATAAATATTTTATGTATGTTAAAATAATTTTATATAATTTTTTTTGTTGCAGAGTCAAGTATTAATTTAGACCGATGATAAAGTCTAAGGAGGGCCATGCGTTGGGAGATATTTGTTCAATATTTGGCTATTTTCCTTTTAAAAGGCTCACAAATTTCTTATGCCTTGAGGAGAGATGGTAATTTAAATGTTTAAATAAAATGTTGATGAATAATAATAATAATAATAATAATAATAATAATAATAATAATAATAATTTTCTTTTTTTTAAATAGAAATGTGCAGATTTCCAGCCAAATGGGAAGGTACCTGGTTTCAAAGTGGAGTCCGATCTTTAATTACAATTGAAATGAATCGTTTAAGCAGTAAAGGAAGATGTTTAGCATCGGATGGTGATAAATTTTTAGTCGTCGACGAGTAAGTTTATTAATTACAAATTTAAAAAAAAATATAATAATAATAATAATGATAAAATGTTTTTTTTTTTTTTTTTTTAGTAAAAGCGTTTGTTACCGATGCATCGTCATTCATGAAAAACACATAAACGTTCTTCAATATAAAGAAAGTAAGTTTAAAAAAAAAATTTTTTTTTTTTTTTTTTAAATCTTTTACTGAATTTTTTTTTTTTTTTTGTTTTCAGCTTTTTGTCACGATCGAAATAATCTTTACAGTTTATGTTCTCTCATCACTGGAGATGCTCTTTTATATAGTATGTTTAGATTAAATGCTCAACCAGTTCATTGTCCATTTAAACCCCCCATGACGTTTACATATAGCAGAGGTCACGGAGAATGTAAAAATCCGGTTTCCAGTTTGGACGGATGCATCGAAGAATCTAAAATAGTTTTGAGGTATCAGGCATGTCCCGACGTTTCGGGAACCGAAAGTGCTGGTAAGAAACCAATACCTTTTTCCTAATGAGTTTATATATATATATATAAACCTTTTAACCCTTTTGATATTTTTTATTTTATTTACAGTTGAAGAACTTGAATGCGTTGCCACGTGGAAAGAAGGAAGTTCAAGATATTTAGTCGGGAAAGTTTACCACAGTCACATAACATCAAACGAAGATCGATTTCGTTGTTTTGTCTACGAAAAAGCAAATCCTCTACAAGGCAACGAAAACACCCTTAATAGAAACGAAGGGTATAATATTTTCTTGGGTGGAGAATATGGGACATCAGGGAGAACCCATGAAAATTTTGATTTTAGACTTGCTCAATCTGGTGATGCTACTTGTAACGGTCTTTTTAGCCCTATGGAGGGCTCGAGAACTATGGCATTAAAAAAAGGTAAAATTCCTTTTTTGTTTAAAAGACTGCCATTTACAATTGTTAAAAAAAAAAATTTTTAATTTTTAGCTCCCATTCCAAACAAGTGCAAGTATCCAGGATGGCTGACATATTTTCAACATTGGCACACT